TGAAGCATGAAATGACACATGAATCTGTAGTGCATCTGGCACGTAAATACCTTGCGATGCCGGTTACAACAGTGCCATGCGAATGCCTGTTCTCATTTTCTGATGACCTTATAAACAAGAAGCGGGCAGCATTATCTCCTGAAAATGTAAACAAACTTGTTTGTCTGAGCAATTGGCTGAAGTAGGACTGAGTGGACTTGTAGGCTCTAAAGTTTTACATTGTTGTATTTTTGAATGCAGTTATTTTTTTGTACGTAATTCCACATTTGTAAGTTCAACTTTCATGAGAAAGAGACTGCACTACACTACTTGTATTAGGGGAATTGAAATATTGTATTTCTTTTGTTTTTTACAATGCAAATTTTTGTAATAAAAAATAAGTATCAAGTGAGCACTGTACACTTGTATTCTGTGTTGTAATTGAAATCAATATATTTGAAAATGTAGAAAACATCCAAAAATATTTAAATAAATGGTATTCTATTATTGTTTAACAGCGTGATTAATCGCAATTCATTTTTTTAATCGCTTGCCAGCCCTAGATCGAATATTTTTACAGAAGAGCTGAGAAGTGAGATCAACACAACACATTTCCACACGTGTGCATCTGCCACACACTGGTTAATGCACGGCAACGCAAGCCCGTCAGCTCATAACCCCAGCACCGACATTTCTCCAGATCACGCTGCCGCACAACCCTGACCATGCTCTCCACAAAGGGATCTCCAAGCACCTCATAGAGGAGGCTAGTGATTCCACCGATGGGGTAACTGGGGAGCAGAGACTCCCCCAGCATCACACAATGGGCTAGTAGCAGGGCCAGAAGTCAACCCAGCTCTCCTGACTCTCAGGCCAGCTTGGCCACACCGTCCCCAAGACGTTACTGTTCTGCACCCATCCTTTCAGTAAAGGCCACACCAGAGATCTGACACTCTATTCAGAGCCCATCCTTGCACACGATTCCTTTTCCAAGCCATCTGTTACAGACATACTGACCACACAGCCAGGATCAAAGCCATCTTGGCATTCAGAAAGCAAGAGGTCTGTGCTGCAGATCCACCTCCCAGAACGCCTCCTGCACAAGGCTACACTTCCCAGGGACTCAAGACGGGCAAGCCATACAGAGGCTCAGACCACCAGCACCTAAGCTTGCCCGTTAATATCTTTTGCTGCAGCCAGCCAGTTGCTGGGCAGGGCAGCCCCCTCCCCCACTCTGAAGGTCTGAAGCGAAAATAGCGACAGCTTGCTGAGGTGCCGATCAGCCAGCTAGGGGAGTGAACCAGCCCACATGCTGCTCTCTGAACCTTCCTGGGTCCCAAGCCAGGGCTTTTTGGCTCTCTTCCGCTGGCATGGCCACGGCAGCTCTGCCTCCCCAGCCAACGAGCAAAACAGCTGGGCTTTTCAGAGAGACGCCTGAAGGAGAAAGGTTTCAGAGGAACAGCCGTGTTAGTCTGTATTCGCAGAAAGAAAAGGAGTACTTGTGGCACCTTAGAGACTAACCAATTTATTTGAGCATGAGCTTTCGTGAGCTACAGCTCACTTCATCCTCAAATAAATTGGTTAGTCTCTAAGGTGCCACAAGTACTCCTTTTCTTGAAGGAGAAACATGACCAACCAGGCTTCTTTCGATTGCGGATTCATGGCCAATGTGTATCCAGTTAAGAGAAAGACACCTGACTCCCAGGGCCTCAGGGCAGCAAAAACCTCTGTTCTCCAGGACCCAGCGCTAGGCTCCGCACAGCAGCAGGGACCAGCTGGGCTCTGGCACCGCAGCGGCGTGGGTAAGCCAGGCTGTGGCATGCAAGCACCAAGCTCTTGAGAAGCAACAAAGCAGCCCAGTGAAATGAATCAAGGGATAGTAACCTGGGGAAAGGCCGCATACAAACTGGCAGAGCCCAGTTCCACTGGGATTTCTTGATGTTCTCTGCTCTTCTGGGCCCCGAGTGCACTGCAGGAGACTTCGACCTCACCCCACCTCTGTGTGGGGAGAGAAGCTACCTGGAAACCCAGTGAAAGGGGTGGTCAGATCAGACAGGGGAGCAAAGTAAAACAGACTCTCCTCCAGGCTGAGATGGGGGGGAGGAGTTTTGGATTTGACTAAAGTTCAGGAGCTGGGATTTCTATTTCATGGGAAATTCTGACATTTTGGGATAAAACCATTCTGGACTGAAAAGAAAAAAGCCCAAACTTCAAAATTTCCTGCAAAATGAAATGTAACAATTGTTTTTATTTGGGACCACTGAAATATTTTGTTTCCACTTTATCATTCTGACTTTTACATTGTATTAAAATATGAAACACAATGCAATACGTATATAAACATTGTATTAACATTACTAATTTAATACAAAAAACACAATGTTTCATTTTGACTTTTTCCATCAACATTTTAATTGACATTGAAACATTCCCACAAAACATTTTGATTTCGACAAACCTGCATTTTTCAATGGAAAACTGTTCTGTGCAAAGCTGCCCCCAGCTTTAGATGTTACATTATGGAGAGGCCGCCCCCCAGAATAATGACATAAAAACCCATTGGTCCCCCACACACCTGACATACTCCCAGCATCTCAGAGCAAGTGCAAAACTGGCACTTGCCTTAGTGGAAGAACGTGACTTGCTCCTACATGGCGCTGACCACACCCTGGGGAGGGGAACCGGGTACGTCAGGCTATCAGCAACTAACCCTAATGCAGCCCGATACCGCTGCCAGTAACTGGGCCTTCGCAGGGCCGCTGGGCACATCACAGACGCACAGCCCGACAAACAGAGCTAGGTTTGCCTTCTGTTTCAACTAGAGACAAAAAGGGGAGACGGGGAAGGGTCCACATCCGATCTGGGGAGGAACAAAGGGAGACGGGGAAGTGTCCTTGTCCAACCGGGGGAGGAACAAAGGGAGACGGGACCCTGGGAAGCAGCCACCTCATATTTTCCAAGTTTCAGGCAAGCCCGGGGCATTGCAAAGCCATGCCAAGCGTGGGGCTAACTGCCCTATGTCTCAAACCAACCAGCCCTTGTCTGCAAAGAGCTTGGGGCCACTCTCAATTAAACCCTTCATGGGGCAAGGGCAGGCACAGCCTCTTCTGGGATGCCAATGCCAACAGAGATGAACCCTTTGCACTGAATGGACCAGCACCCCCAAGCCATGCGGACACCCACGTGCCAACTCCAGACTAGGGACCAGAATATCTACACCTTGCCTGAACCTGCCCAGCACAGCCCTGCTGACCCTCCTTTGCCAATAAACCCCTGGAAACCAGTTCTGACTGCAGGCACCTAGCCCACTACAGGTTAAAGGCGAGCCGCAATTAACTCCTTTGTTGCTGACATCCATTGCAATGAACAGTTTCACACCCCTCTCTCGGTACTGTCAGCTGCACTCCATGCAAGCTCTGGCACGTCCCTGGGGCCCTGCCAGGGGCTGGGAACTGGAACACTCGATGGCCCAGGAGCTGTGAAGGCGTCTCTGTCTGTAAAGCTTTTGGGATTTGGCATCATGCTCACAGGCCTGCGCTTGGATGAAGCTTTCTCTCGTCTCATCAAAAATGTGACATGTTCATTTCTGTGTGTCTCCCCCATGAGCCCAGGCTCCCACAGCCTCTCGCACCTCCAACAGCGACTGCATAACAGAAATCACCCGGGCCAAGGTTCAGTGACCAGAGAGTCCCGCAAGAATAGTTTGAACCCACCTGGGCCACCCTAGAGCCTGCAGCCCCTACCCCAAAACATCTCTGGCTTTCTGAAGCACTCCAGAAATCGACGCTCCATAGCCCTACTCTGTCTGTGTTGAGTGACTCCTGACCAAGCCGCATGGCAAACAAAGCGAGAGGAATGGTCCACAAGGCCCATTAAATTGGGGGAAGAAGAGTGGGCTAGTGTGAACCATGGACCTAGAACGAAGGAAGCTCAGTGGAAATGGAAAATCAACGGATCCTTGGGAACCTGCTGGGAAATAAGCGGAGCGTTTCTGAACACACCAAACAACCATGCTGAACCAACGGCTGCTGATGGGGGTTAAAGGCAGACACGTGTATAACAAAAGTCCCTGGAGAGCGGATTTGGAAAAGGGACTTTAAAATTAGAAATATGACTAACAGAGGGGCCCGGAAAAATGAGAGGCCCAAAGCAAGAACTGGTGTGATGAGCTGGCCGGCGTGCAGCGGGCTGGCGGTAGGGGGGAACTCATTCCATGTGCCATACAGAAAGGAGATGGAGAGGTGGGGGGAGTGGAGCAGGGACCACACCGCCCTTTAGGAGGCAGGCACAGCACAGATCCTGGGGAAGGGGCGCTTACTCCCATATGATGACAATCCTAAGAATCCTAAGGGGAAATTTTGGTATTAACCTATCTGACAACCTCCCCCTCCTCCCCACTGCCACCTGAGCTACCAGAAACATGCGCAGTTTCTGCTCTCTCTCTTCCCCTCAGGACTCCTGTGAAACAGGGACCAGTGCCGAAGAACCCAGGACTGTCATGGTATTGCAGGCTCTTGCCCTGGGAAAGCAAGCACTTCCATTCTAAGCACTTATAAAAGGCACAGATGACTAATGGGCTCATCAGTGCCGGAGAGAAGCCCGTCAGGCTGCAGAAGCCATGCCTAGCACACCCCTCGCACACCAGAAATGCCATGGCTGCGTTTTAGAAAACAACAACAAATGGGAGAGACGCGCAAGCATTGGACACCCGTTCTCAGCCTGGACAAGGGGTTATGACACGCAAAAGGCAAGAATCCTCTCCCTTTCCCCCCTGCAAAGCTTAACAGCCAGCATTTGTGCATCGTGGGGAGTAGACAGACAGGAATGTGTACACCGCACTCAGCTTTCACACCAACAATGGAGAACTGAGCACTCCGAGAGCCAGCAACCCACACAGTGTCTAATAAAACCCTAGCAATCCCCCGATCACACACACACAGCCATGTCGCAAACCAGAATGTCCATGTCACAACAGCAGTGAATTCAGAAGCCAGAGCGAAAGCAGAGACTGCAAAACTTACCAACCAACTGTTTCAATAAAGAACAATCCGTGACCATGTTACGGCTGGACTATAATATTCCACTGCAAGAAGCTGTACAGCCCCGGTGGGAATCCAGCCTGCTGTTAAAAGGTAAAACTTGGACCCCGGACTAAGCCGAACGTGAGCGGCTGCAGCAGGGGAAACAAGCACCAACGACCATATTTTGTTTTGCAAGCAACCAGCGCTCCCGTCCCCTCTCTGGTGCAGCTAGATGGGCGGATTCCTCTTTATCATCCGCTCAGCTCACCCCTATCATCCAGGAAGCTGTGTACACATAGGCGCCTCCCCCTGAGGTTTCCCAACGCTGCAGGGAGAAGCAGCTGAAGGCAAAGCACCTTCTATCAAGGGGCAGAGGCTGCAAGGCTCAAACCATCCCTGCACCCAGCATGCCGATTTCAGGCAGGCAGAGCCGGCTCAGGCCCTTCCAACACACCTGCTGCTCCTGGGCGAACAGGCTGCACGAATAAAGCCCCTGGTCTGTACATATGCTCCCCACCATGTGAAAGGCATGTCATAAAACAGTACAGCTGCTTTGTCTAGCCAAGGAGGAGCCCGAGAGCCCGGCTCAGCCGAGCAAAGGGATCCCCAGGATCCAGCTAACTCCTCTGGCTCAAAGGCAGCATTCAGGTTACAGCAGAGACGGAGCTCAGGGAAGCAGGAGGGTGATGAGCGAGGTCTCAGGGAAGCCCCCCAATAAGAGAAGCAGGAGGGCCAGGCTTATGTTCAACCAGCACCACTACCTCGAAGCGAGCCGCCTCTTCTCACCCTGGCACTGATGGTCCCTCTCTCTCTCCGCCACCCTGAGGAGTTTTGCTCCTGTTGGAATCAAACAAACCCAGCCCCCATGAGGGGACAGAAGCTGCTGGGCTCCCTTGGGGTCTGGCTCAAAGCATCCCGCATGCTTCTCTTTCTGAGAGCGAAGGTCTGAGCTGCCAGGCCTGGGGAAGGGGGCCCAGGTCTTTGTCGAACTGAGGTTCCTTCCAGTGACTTTCCTCCATTCAAATAACCCTCCCGATGCTCAGGCTGCTTCCCAGATGACGTCCGGTCTCAGCAATGACACCACCCAGGCCATGGCTTGGAGGGGAGGAAAAGCTGAAGCTGGGGGAAACTGGCCTGAGGCTGGGGTGAAGCACTGCAGGCAGCTCTGGTTCAGCAGCACCAGAGCAGGCACTGCATCCAGCTGGGACAGTGTTGCCTTTTCGAGGCAAGGAGCAGTGTGCCCGAGGGGCCCCATATGCACTCTACCTAGCTACCAGCCCAGCCCCCACCCATCCGCTGAGCCTGCTGCACCAGAGCACTGGGAAGGGGCAGGCTCCCCGGGGTGGCCAAGAGACAGAAAGCAGCAGAAACCGGTCAGGGACACGGGCTGGACAGGCCTGAGCCCTCCCTGGACTGCAACGAATGCCCCACTGGTTGGGACTTCCTGCTCCTGCCCCCTCTTGCGAACAGGTCCCACCCCCACCTGGCTGCCTGTGGCTTCAAGCCAAACCCATCAAGAAAGCGGCTTTTAAAATCAGCTGAGTGGATTCCCTCAAGTGTCTGACTCACATTTCCTACATCTCACAGCCCTGCCACGGGGCCCCAAGCACCACCTGGGCCTTTCTAGAGACCAGAGGGTAACACGCTGCACTGCTACAACCATCTTTTCACCTGGAGATCCTAAAGCATGCTGGACCCCACAGCTCCCTCCCGGGATGTTCTCGGATGCTAGGGGCCCATACAAAATGCTCCCAAGGTATGCATCCCAAGGCATCATATGCGGTGCATTCAAAACAAACACAGAAATATCATTACACCAAGCAGAGAGGGCCTTTAAAATGTAAGGCCCTAAAGAATTTAATGGGAATGAAACCAATGGGGATCCTATAGAAATCACGCTAACCCCCTTAGAATTTAGTAGAGAATGAGCTCACTTCTATAGGGTTCTCTCAACAACGCTATAAATAGGCTTGGAAGGATTAGATTTTAATCAATAAATGTTGGTAAACCTCGATTTCAATGTACACACAGCCCGATGAAAAAATACTCCCATCAGTAATAATCGAAATTTACAGGTAGGCAAAGTAAGCAAAATTCTGGTCGAGAACTTACTAGAGACTGTCATTACATAATTGTCTGACACCCCCAAAATTTCCTGCAACTGTGAAAATTTCAAATCAATAAAAATTGAAAAAAATGCTTAAAAATAATCAGCAGTATCTGCTGCAATCATAAGAAAATCAGAGTCCCACTCTGCCGACCCTAGCTGCACAGTTCTCCAGCGCAGAGAGAACGTATGAGCAAATTCTCCAGCATGCTCCAATGTATCTAGGAAAACCTGGCTGTTGGCTGAATTCTGCAGGGACAGTCCCCCACCTGGATGACGCGGAAGCGCTTTCCGGTGCAAGTCGCCCCTACAGTAATTCCTGCTCAGCTCGAAAGCCATTTCTGAGTCAAACGTGCTTCTTCACCATACTCTGCAGCACAGCCACCAACTGCTTCCTCACACCTATGCAGTGGTGAGCGCAGGGAGCAGGGATTTTGCATCAGCTAGACAGAGCAGGGAAACCCCATGAGCAGAGACTTCACTGCTTATCTGGGGTCAAAGCTTCCCCAGCTCTCGGCAAGGCAGCTCCATTGAGATATGGCAGCGAATCAAGTGCTGAAAACTCTGGCGGCGGCTGGACTCCATCCCCAGACCAGCAGAGCAAACATCCCCCACAGTGCCCCAGGCACCGCAACTATGGCCTTGTTGCCACCCTGTCCTCTCCTACGGGACTGTCACTCGCACTGGAAGGCGAGAGACTCTACAATTGCTCTTCATGATCAAACCGTGGGCATCCGCTCTCCCACAGGGAACACGGTAGCCCCCAACTGACACTCAACAGCTTCTGCTGATTTCTGACACTGGAGTAGGAGAGGTACAGATCCTGCATGCCATAGCTGGAGGTCTGATGCCAAACCCAGGGGAGGCACGCAAGGTGGTTTTAAGGAGGTGCCCCTAGGGGCTGGAAGAGAGGGCTGTCGCAGGACAAGCACGAGCAGGAGACAGTCTTACTTGTCCATTAGGGCAGTACAGGCTCTCTCAGTGCCCCTTACACCTGGCACCTCCTTCCACATCGCCTCTGACTGCAGTCCATGCTTTTCCCTCGTCCATCCTGAGAGCACGACCCCAATGCACATTCCTCCAGCCTCCAGGCAGCATCACAAAGCCACCCTGGAAATGGCCTAGAACGCTGCTGGCCTGGAGGCAGGACAAGATATCCTGGGACACCAACCTGCACAGCGACGGATGGGCTGCAATCAGGGCAGCACAGCACCATGTGGATAGAAAGTTTCAAAAGTGATGCGGCTTGCTTGCCACAGCATGAACACAGGCCAGCCAAGAGGTGTGAGCTATCCCGGTGCAGTTTCTATGCATAGACAAGCCCTAGGACACTCACCCTCTGCCTCACCAACACTCAAGGAGTTAACCGTATATACTATGAACTCCGTGAAAGGTACCATGCCAGTGTCCCTATGCCCCACCACTTCCCTAGAGCAAACAGCCTCGGAGGGAAGTGTCTCTGGCTGGCTCCATCCACACCCACACCCACCCAGGGTCCGCTCCCTCACAGGTGGTGATGAAATTTGAAACAGGACCCGCATCACTGAGTCAGCCCAATATTGAGATACGGAAGGCAGAACAAGGGGTCCGCCCTCTTCTCAATATCACCATGAAAAGGGAACTGAAACCACACCAGGCGAATACCCTGCAGCCGACTTACAGCAGCCACCCAGTCAGCAGGGGACTGAATCGGAGCAGCAGCCACTCATCCCGGGTCCAGGCCTCACTGGGGGATTCCGCAGGAGCGAGCCCACAGACACATGTAGCAACACTAGGCCACGCAGGGTCTGCTTTCCCCAGGAGCAAAACACCCACAGTCAGAGGCAGCCATTCAGACGTGCTCTGAGCCAGCGTGCTGAGCGCCAACACAATTCAACAGCCCTGTGCTTGGACAGCAGCTCAAAGTGCTGCCGGAAGCCGAGATTCTTCTTACTCTTCCAGGGACAAATTGAACATCCCTGAGGCAAAAAAATTGGGAAAAGCTTCGCTTTGTAAACGAATGTTAGAATCTAGCTGACTCCCACCCAGCCAAGCTGCCTCCTGCTCCTCACATCCGAGTGCCTGGACATTAGACAGGCCAGTCTCCCGCTGTCATAACGGGCTGAGATCTGCAGCTCCACCACTGTCTGTCTCCGCAGGGTTTTCCTTTTCCAAAGGGAAGGGTTTGTACGTTAGGCTTCAGCAAAACAAACAGAAAAACCCCAAAGTCTCTGAAACTTTGCTTCTAAACTAGAGAGCAGCTTCTCTTTGCCACTGTACTCTGCTAAGGCGGCCAGCTTTGTCACCAGACTCTCCTAGTCCTTTCCCAGGCGGCCCCCAGGCAACACTGAACCATCCTGAGCTCCTCTGCAGGGCCCCAGCTTGTCCACATTTCAGTCCCTCTTAAAGATACCTCTGCCCTGCTGCGATGGTGAATCTCCTGGATCTGTGTATGAGCTTACGCAAACTGCCTGTCTGTGCCCCGCTTCCACCGACCTTTGTCATTCAGCTGCGAGTCCCTTGGAGCAGGGGCCATCCTTACATGTTTGGAAAGGTGCTGGCATGCAGCGAGTGCTACTGCAAAGAAAAAACAACCTAACTTGGGGCCTTCAGCTGGGCTTGGTTACTGATCCCTGGGGTGTTCCCAGAACCTGGGTTTAACTCCCAAGACGCCATGCACAGCACAAGCCAAGAGAGCTCATAATACGTTAGGGGCACTGCAGCCTGGCCAGTAGGCACAGGTGCAAACAGCCCAACAGGCTGGAGCTGGTGTATTGCTACCCACAAGCCCCCGAGCAGCCCCCAGCTCGGCTCCCAGGACAGTGCGGTGCATGAAATAAGATCCCGCAGATTCCTGCCTGCTCTAAACACGTTCCACAACATGCAACATGGAGCAGAGCATTGTAAGGGGCAGCCAGTGCTGCACAGCTCTGCCCCACCCACAGCTTGGTACAGGGCTGGCACTTAGAGAGACCCCGGCCTCGAAAGGGGCCAGAGTCTAGATTCAGCCTGCGCAATCCTGAGAGCTACCAGACTGGGAACCAACCACGTGAGTAGAGTTTCTGCAGATTAGACCTAGGTAATCCACCCTGCTGCTCATGCCCCCTGGGTTCCAAGCAGTACGTCTAGTGGTCTTGGCAGAAACCCAGCACC